GCATGCCAAGCCCTCTTTCCGACTCTGCCGCACGCCCTGACTGCCAGCGCCTCCCATTGACCAAACTCTCTACATATACGGCTCTGCGTTGCCCTACATGTTTGGATAACATACTGTTTCTGTTCACCTGGTAGGCACTTTCATTCTCTACATACACCATAGGTTGAAAATGCCCTGAATCATGGATCAAGCCTTGCAAGATGGAACTTCTCTTTAGGCCCAGTGCCTGGATCAAGTGTTGTCCCCCACCCCCTCAGGCCTTTCTGTCATATAAATTGTTGGTATTTCTTAAGAAAATGCGCATAGCCTGCCGACCACATCTTACATTCCAATTGTTAGTTTGAACCCGAGGGGGACCAAAACATTGTACGAGTTTAAATTACCGGAAGTTTCCTTTCTAGAAACATATAGGATGGGACCTGCATGTTAGCTTGAATTATTTGCGAGTTTGCATTAAGAGGGCTTGGACTAATGAGATTCCACTGTACAAAGAGTGTGGTTAATCCAAGGTTCAGATTACTCTGAAATATGTCGGGTGATTACTGAAAGGTTAAGATACAAAAATTTTGGTAGAAAGGAAATGAATCTCCTCAGTTTTTAATTTTTCTCGCCACTTTAACTGCTAGGCACGCTATGTCTGAAGTTTTTCAGAAGATCATGGCATCGGTCTTCGCCCATTTACACTTGGAAAGAAATGCTACCGGCAATAAGGGCTACGAAGTTTTCTTTGTGTTTGAAATTATGTACGCTAGTGTGTATCACTTGTTTCTCTTGTGCTACCTTTGCGCAAGCTTGCCGACGTGCTCGCTTTGGCGAGTGAGGAAGAGCTAAACTCAATTGGACGTGGTGTGCTATCTTTTACACAAACTCGGTATTCCTATAGACCTTTTCATCTCGGCAGTTACCTGACTGGTAACTGCCGCATTGACACACATGGTGCCATAGAATGGCTTTAGTTTGGTTGGTTTTTGGTTTCAGTGGGCTCGCGGCTGTGTTATGTGCGATAAGAGACAAACCCGCCAATCGAAGTCTTGTCTTCTAGACAAGACTTCGATTGCCAGGTACCCCTTCATGGATTTGTGTAGACAGATGTTATTTGTTTGAACATGCACTAGTGATTCAAAACTATCAATAAATTGACTATCAATACTATTGATAGTTTTTGCACCACTAGAGCGAACACAGATGCCGCACCGCCGCTCACCTCCCTTCCTCCTCTCCGCCCAAACTCCCGTCTTCATCATCACTGAAAACTGAACCAAGTTGGGATGGTAAGTGCTTGGGCTAGTTGGTGTCCCATTTGAAAAAAAGAAGAGAGCGACGCAAATTAGTGTCGCTAGACTATCGATAGTAAACAGTTGACAGTACTATCGATAGGTTTACGATGGTCGACTATCGATAGTACTATCCATAGCTTTTCGACAGTCGACTATTGATAGTAGTGTCTAGTTTTTCGATAGTCGACTATCGATAGTTTTTTTGCTATCGTGTCAGATTTCTGGCTACTTTCGCTACTATTGATAGTTTTGCATCACTAACAGGTACGCTCTTTCAGCGGCGTCGAGGGTAAATCTGGCATCGACATTGCTGCACCCGAGCGATTTCCATGATGATGGTCTCTTCAGCGTCGTGCATTATGTGCCTCGGGCACTTTTGCCAGGCACTCAAGTTTTCCTCGACACGTTTTTCACCCCGGGAGGCAACCCTGTGTGTCTAAATAAATTATTTGTAGTTTATTTAAATTCATAAATAGGTCAAACAAATGTTTCTACTACAATCATGATTCCCCCATATAATCAAAAGTAACTTTTGGATTCGTTATGAAGGCAGAGCACGATGCTTTCAAGAAAGTGACTACTTGCATTGTCCATATTTGCAGCCTTCTTTAAGATCGTAAATGTGTAAATATACCTTGTGTTTCTTATTGCACAACTAACACTTAAGCAAATTTCCAGTGTCATAAATAATTGGCCTCTCAACCCTTGTCCGTCTTGGGGACCTCTCCATACTCTATATGCGCCAGTGCTAACGCCGATTCCTTTCCCCGACGGTGCATATATAAAATAATGTGCAGAAGTTGCACGCATAACAATGGCATGCAGTTAGGTAGTAAATATAAGTATCAGACAACACTTCACAAAGCAAGACAAAAAAAATAAAAAAAATTGGGGCTCCTATTCACACTGTAAAGACAGTTAGTTGGCCAGCGAAGCTGTGGTATCACTGCAACGATTGCCCACTGCACTATACCAAAACGTTTTTTGTAAAGACCCTTTTCATTGCAAATGCCACCAGGCGGTGCTCCAGTTTGACGTCCCAGCGAACTTCCGATTCACAGAAGGAATGAACAAAACCCACCTTGAGACAGCTGCCTGAAATGTCGATGAAATGTTTAACCACCAATTCTTCAGGTGAATGCCAAAAAAAAAAAAAACGAAGAAATGGGAGATGCTGTAAACGACTTATTTTTTGCGGGTTCAATATTTCGCAATTCACGTTAAAGCTGAAGTTTTGGAATAATTCGCGGGTTCTAATTTTCGCGATGCGGTGGAATCTCAATATAAATTCCAATGTATTCACGTTTTACCAGAATCGTTCGCGTGACCTATTTTTTACGAAATGTAGGCGGTTTGCAAAATTTAAGTCCTTTACAGTATGTTAATAAGTTTCGAATATTTTGTAAACAAACTTTCCTCCTCCAAGACATTAAATTGTACAGCCGAATGCCCTCATTAAATCTCCAACCTTGTTGTCCGTGTAGCATTTATACTTTCTAGCATGGGTGACATAAGCAAACTCGACAGACTCGTAAAGACTGTGCGATCAGAAGTCGCTTGGGACGCAAGCAGCAATTCATGTTTGTAAACAGCGAAAGGGCCTATGTGAAAGACTGTATGGTGCCGTTACCATGGCAACTTATGAAACCGCAATTTTTACCGAGAGACGCATGCGGGGAGCACTATGTGTTTCGCATTGTGCACGCCTAATCTATCATGTGGTTCCAACACTTGTGGTTTTCTTATTGAAAAATACAAGCGTCAAAACTACACGATAGAAGACAAGGAGCGCACAATGCTTTTCTGTCCACTACTGTTCTGTTGACAGACACAAAAGAAAACTTACCAACGAGTCAGATACAGCTTCGCTGTAAAATTGCGGTAAAACTCAACGAAAAAACGAATGCAACGTGTTGGCGAAGGGGAGGGAGGCGCGACGATTTGAAGCCACCTTATGGCGGCTATGTGACATGATTTCAAGATGGCAGCACCCATGCGACGGGGTGAAAAAAATCTATAGAATTTTAGAAATAAATTGAAGGGATGCCATACAACCACTTGCAGGGGGGATTGAATAGCTTGGGAGCCCAAGCTACTGTTGCATTGGTAGGAGACTACATTTGGAAGATGGAGTGGCGGTAGCTGGCTTCAATCGCTGTGTTGGCATGTGCATCTGTTGACATTTGGTGACCATAGCAAGCAGAATTTATTGTCCAGGAGGAGACTGGTGTGGCGAGATCAGGTGCATGCTTGCGCTCTTTTGCAGTACTTTTCAATAAGGCCGCAGGACATGAACATAGAGTAGAGTTCTCAATAAGGACAATGTGGATGGCTGATATTTTCCAGCACCTAATATTTTGACAAGCCTTGCATGAAAAAAATTTTTTTTTTTCTTACCTGGAACATGGTGCTGAAGTATCAAACTGCCTCTGATGTGAATGAAAAAAGATGCCACGAGAACATCTCTGTGCTAATAGTCGCCGACAAGATGAGAAACGCAGGGCATCTCTTAGCGCCCAGCCTCCAGCAAGCACTTGTCGCCTTTTCTCATGCTCTGTCTGCGTGTGCATTCTGGAGGCTTGCAAGACGCCAAAGCATTGCCGAATGTAGGAGGCTCCTCCCTGCAATTCTTGTTGTCCTACATTTAGTCCTCCAGGTCAGTACAAAAACATACAAGTCTATTCAACACCCGAACACGATTTGGGCGATATGTTAGATATAGTCCCTAACGGAATGAGAACGTCTGGGCGTGTCTTACAAATGCCCGGGCTTGAAGCATTGCCAAAAGTAGGAAGCTTCTCCCTACTGTCCTCATCTTGCGAGTTGCTAGAGTTATTAAACCATTTTAAATGTGGCAATGCTACACCATACAATAACGGTTTTTACAAAAGCAATTTCTGGTTGATCTTATCAAAAGCTTGCTATAAATCGAAATAAATATCGACTTTCTTCCAAGAAAGAAGAAATGGCACCGTGTATTCAAGTGTGCAGAAACTAATTTCTAAATCTGGGGATATGCATGCTTCAATGATGGGGCAAACAAAATCGGTGCTGTTTTTAACAATAAAAGAAGATAAATCTGGACCCAAAAACAGCCCAGCTTTAATTTCTTTATTGCTTTCAACATTTCGGTGTCAACTTCCTTGATTGCTGAAATGTTAGTCAATATTACTGAAGAAAAAAGATGTGCTTTTATTGACCAACGTGTGAACGATGTAAAAAAACATTTTTGGAAACAGCAGATCTCAAACAATATCCGGACCCGCTTGGCAATGGTAGCAATGTGTGTACATATGTTCTTAGATCTAGGTCAGTTGACAAGCTTCGGAAAACGCCCGACGCCTTTTAGCGGTGCATCCGCTTAATGGCACCTGCTACACGATCGGCCCGTCATATGGTCATATGGACAGATCCGGTGAAACATTGGATGCACATTACCTGCGGCGGAAAGTGACTTTATTACAATAACACAATACCTTACAATAAACATAAGGTCTTCACAATACTTAATGCAAAAAGAGCGTCGTTCAAAAAATGTTCTCTGTTGACCATGGAGGCATTGACGCTGTGGCACTAGGAATGTTATCTACCTATACCTGCTTGCATGCCAGCAACAGAGAACTGTTTTCGAATGCTGCTTTTCTGTGGAGCTTGTCAACTGATAGATCTAAGAATGTTGCCATGTAGGGCCTGAGTGGAGGCACCTATTTTCTCAAGCACCAGTTTAGAAACCCCCATTTTATTCAATCCTTTCAAAAAGACACACAGTTTAGAGAAAATGGCAACAAACTTGCTTTTCGCAAATTCAGGAAAACGCAATTCACCGAACTCGACTGCTTGCTCTGCCTTGGCCGACGGTAAAGCCGAGCCAGTCAGCGAATCGCTCGCTTGGGCGGCCAGCACATTCAGAATATGATGGACATGTTTTGTGCATGTCACAACCCTGCCATTTTTGCAATTACATTCTGCCTGGTTTACAGCCTAAGAGAGAAGAGAGTGCTCGAAGCATAGGCAAACACGCCTCAGTGAATCGCGCTAGCATTTAGGGGCTTCCAGATTTGCTTATGCCAATTGAATAGATTCACTAAATGGCCATCCTTTTTCAATAACTAATGTTGCTGTAAACTGAGCTTCGATAAAATGGTCCCGTTCTCGAAAACATGCTTCTATGGAATTGTCTTCGGTCAACTGTCGTAGACCTCTGCACGAGTGAAACTGAGCAGTAGTTGTAGGTGCAGCACATTCTGTAAGCATAAAATAAAGGCACACAGCCAAACAACGCACCTCAGTGATGCCTAGCAGACCACTAAACAAATAAATATTTAACACGGGGTACTATTCTGTTTCATACCTCCAACATTACCGCCCCGCTTCGGCTCGTCAGTATACTTCGTTTCAGCTTCGGTTTAGAGGCAGTCAAAGCTACAAGCGCCAGCTCCGGGCTTTCAGCATCCCTGCCAAGCATGCGCGCTCGTGCAGTGCAAGCACTGTTCTGGGCCACATGCTCGCGCTTGTAGCATTGTTGACAGCTGCCCCGCAAGGATACTTTCCGGACATGCGGAAACATCTCAATACAAGTACTATCCACCCCTGCTTAACCACATGTTCTTTACGAACATAACTCGGCTTCCTAGCAATATTTTAGAACGCCATAAGTTAAAGAATATTTTCAAACAGTAAAAGCCTATCTTGCAATTGCGCAACATAAACAGAACAGTGCAGGTAGAGCTGCATGGCCACTTTCTACTTGTCCGGATTCATACAAAATATGATTGTCGTTAGCAAACTTTTAGGTAATGAAAACAGGAAAATGAACAAGAGTGTGTGATGGGTTTGGAAGGGAAAGAAACGTGGACAAAAGGCAAACACAAGCAATTTAGAACAGACGAGTCGACCCACCCAGCTAATGCTCTGTACGAACAATCTCAACCTTAAATACTACTTTCTATACAAATACAAGATACCCAGGATATTAAGAGATAAATAGTCACCAAAATTAACGTACCGATTGGGCAGTGCTGTTCGTAAATCAAGTAAATCGCCGAAGTCACAGCACGTTCACGAAACAAAACAGCCATCTTGGAAAAATAAAAATAGTGATGGTGATAGCGATGTGTGTTCTGTAAAAACTCCGAGGACAAATGTAGTCAATGTTTTTTCTTTAAATTTATGTGTAGCACCTGGAAACGCTTTGGAAAACATACTTTACCTAGAAAAACTTCATTAAAATCATGGTGACAAAATAGTCTAAAGTTTAGGCATTTAGACGTGTTGAAATACACTTGGCAATGTCTACGTGGAGTGCAAGTTCGTCCGTTTCTTTTGCAGGGGTTGTGGTGATGTCAGAATGCAGAGCTCTGATTGGAGGATAGTGGATAGACCTGAAGGCAGCTAGCATTGTGTACCCACCATCCTTCAATCAGAGCTTGGCATTTCGACGTCACTACAACCCCTGCAAAAAAAAGCAGAACCTGCACTCCGCATAAACCTTTTCTCAGTAATTAAATGCAAACAGAACAGACCTGAGAACCCTTCTTGCTGATAGCCTTTCCTTGAAAGTGTGAATGGTCAAAAGTCAATGCCATGATAAGCTGAAATACTTCGGGCATAGCATGCTAAGGTGGCAAGAAAAATTAAACGGGGATAGCTATCTTCTTTTCATCAAACTTGTCGGAGCTTCATCTTTTGTATAAATACTGTCGTATAAAGAAGACAAAGTCTGGCAGCATGTGAGACGGTGAGCTGGCTGGGCCACGCGTGAGGGTCCGAGATGCGCATGACTGGCAGATACGCTTAAGGTTCGTTAAAGGACTCACGGGTATTGGTTTGTGGCCCCGGGCTTTGACCTTTCTCTCGCCTCGGAACACGACATGGTGGCAGCAGTGGGATACTGAACAATCCTCCATCGTTTCTCGGGACCTGAGAAGCCGCACCAAACTCTGCAGTTCGACCGAACGGCCAGCAAAGAAGATTCGAGCCGCTGCTAGATCTACGCCATGACTAGCAACGCAGACGGTTCGGGGGCTTCAATCTCCCAGGCCAGCAGAGGACCTTCCTTCTTCAACCCCTTTGCGGTCGAGCTACCGGAGAAGCTAGATTTCAGGAATCCGAGCGACTGGAAGGACTGGAAGGCGATGGATCATTCAGTGGGACCGCTACCGGATCATCTCGGGGCTTCATCTCTGTGACGCTTTAACTAAGGTGAAAACCTTCATCTAAGCGATGGGCAGAGGATGTCCTTTCTTCGCTCGAGATGACACAAGAGGAGCTGAACGACTACGACATAGTCAAAACTAAGTTCGACACACACTTCATTCCGCGGGTGGACGTCATCTTTGAGAAAGCGAAGTTTAATTCTAGAAAGCAAGAGCTGGACGAGCCTGTGGAGCTCTTTATCACGGCATTGTACAGATTGGCGGATACCTGTGACTACGGCCCTTTACGGGACGAGCTCATATAGGACCGCATTGTCGTCGGACTCCTGGACAGGAAACTAAGCGAGAAACTCCAGCTCGATGCTAAGCTTACACTGCAGCGCGCGACTACGGCAGCTTGATCATCAAACGGTAAAGCGCCAACAGACTGAGCTACGCAGCACAAAGACAGACGGCGACGTTCTTGAAGAACTCAGAAGACAGCCGAAAACAAAAAGCGAGAACAAGGACTTTCGACGTCCGAACATGTTGCCTCTTTAAGCCCTGTCTAATAATTCGCCATGGACGTGCCGATGGTGTGGCAGTTCACGGAAACACGCCAAGTCTCAATGTGCCGCAAAAGACAAGAAGTGCAACGCCTGCGAAAAGCTAGGCCACTTTGAGAGAGTCTGTTTTTCCAAACACACTCGAGAAAATTTCAGTATACAAGAGCACGGACAAAGACTGAATGAAGTCTTCCTCGGCGAGTTGGTACACTCAAGCAACGGGCAATGTACCAGGGGAAGCCTGGTACATTACAGCCAAAGTAAACAACCAAGACATCACATTCAAGGTGGACACGGGGGCGGACGTCACAGCTATCCCTCCCAATATGTGCGACGCGACAACGTTTGCAACTTTGCAGACAACAGGGACGGATCTTTATGGAGCAGGCCACACTCCGCTGAACATGCTAGGCAAGTTCACAGCGACGGTAACGTGGAATGGGCGCACTACTAGAGAAATCATCTATGTGTCCGACCAGCTAAAACACCCACTGCTGGGGCAGCCTGCAATTGAAGCCCTTCAGGTACTACCTAGCTTGAACAAAGTCAAAGCCGAAAGCAAGCCGGAGTATGACCACCTCCGTAAAAAATACCCCTTGTTTTTCCAAGGACTGGGGAAAATGAATGTGGAGTAGAAGATCGCGCTTCACCCTGATGCGAGACCATTCGCAATCGCATACCCGAGACGGGTACCTCTACCTCTGCTACCCAGCACTCAACAGGAATTGCAACGGATGCAAGACATGGACGTTATTGAGAGTCGACCATGCCGCAGCATGGTGCGCACCCATGGTGGTGGCTAAAAAGCAAGACAGTTCTCTTCGTATCTGCGTGGACTATACACAGCTAAACCCGCAACTGGTGCCGGAGCGGATCATCATGCCAACCGTAGAGGAGAGCTTGGCAAGACTCGCCGGGGCGACGGTATTCAGCAAACTAGATGCCAATGCCGACTACTGGCAAGCACCACTAGCCCCAGAGTCAAAGGAACTGACGACTTTTATCACACCAGTGGGACGGTTTCAATTCAAAAGACTCCCGTTTGGCATTGCGACAGCGCCCGAAGCCTTTCAGCGGGAGATGCTAAGGATCCTAGAGGGAATCCCAGGACAAGTATGTCATATGGATGACATCTTAGTTTTCAGTCGTGACAAAAGGGAACACAACAAAAATCTTGAGCTGGTACTCTGCCGCCTCCACGACTCCGGAGTGACCCTGAACACCTCAAAGTGTGAGTTCTCCAGGAAGAGCATCAGGTTTCTGGGCCACCTTCTGGACAGCAGGGGCATTGCGGCAGACCCCAAGAAAACGGAAGCGATCGTCCAGATGTCGGCACCTGGAAGCTTGGCAGACCTGCGATCATTCTTGGGGATGGTCAACCACCTTGGGAAATTTCTTCCCGACATAGCCAAGAAAACCAAGCCACTTCGAGATCTGCTACACGAGGATGCTAGCTGGCTCTGGAGCGAGCCTCAGGAAGAAGCATTCCTTAACATCAAAGATCTCCTATGCAAGATTCCTGTGCTCACACTCTATAAACCGGATGCACAACTTACATTGTCGACGGATGCGTCTTCGTTTGCACCGGGGGCGGTTCTGCTCCAAGAGGAAAACGGCTAAAGACGACCAGTGGTATACGCATCGAGAGCCACGACACAAATGGAGCAGAGATACGCCCAAGTTGAAAAGGAGGCTTTGGCCATCGTATGGGCCTGTGAACATTTCCGGACCTACTTGGTAGGAAAGGGATTCCACATCGAAACAGACCACAAGCCTCTGGTGCCACTGTTCACAACGAAACGTCTTGACGAAATGACACCAAGGCTACAGCGTCTGAGGATGCGCATCTTTGAGTATGACTTTGCGATATCCCACGTACCGGGCAAAGAGATGTTCACTGCGGATGTCTTCTCCAGGAAACCCCTACCGACCACACGCCAGTCTACAGACTCAAGGCACACCGTGGAGATCAGTGAAACGTTGGTTCACGAGTATGAAATGCTAACAGTGGAGCTCCTTCCAGCCTCTACCTCATTTTTGTCCAGACTGAAGGCAGAGCTTTCCAAAAACCCAACCACATCAAGGGTTATGGAATACTGCGAAAAACAATGGCCGACAAGGAACAAACTTCCTCCGAACTTAAGCAAATTCGCGAGTCTCGCCGCAGACCTTTCGGTTGCGCAGGAATTACTAATGCGTAACGTTACTAATGCGTAACGACCGGCTGGTGATCCCGCCTAGTCTGCAAGGAGAAGTCTTGGAGCGATTGCACAGCGGCCATCAGGGTGTTGTCCGATGCCGGGCAAGAGCCATAGAGTCCGTCTGGTGACGTGGCTTAAGCACGAAAATACATGAAAATGTGAGTCGCCGTCCTACCTGTCAGCAATATAGACGACCACATACAGAACCCCTTCTACAGACTCCACTACCCGATCGTCCCTGGCAGGAAATTGGAACGGACCTTTTCCAGTTCAGGGGGAAGAAGTATATAGTCATCGTCGACTACTACTCGAAGTTCTTCAAACTTGAAGAAATACCTCAAACAACCACAGAGGACATTATCAAGGTTTTCAGCCAGAACTTCGCTAGACACAGTTGCCCAGAAGTCATCCGCTCCAACAACGGTCCCCAGTTTGGCTCAACCAAGTTCCGGTGATTCGCCAGAGAGTGGGGAGTCGAACTGTTTGCTTCAAGCCCGTATTATCCCCAGAGTAACGGAGAAGCGGAGAGAGCGGTGCAGACTGCGAAGAAAACCTTGAATTCAGCATAAGCTCTTCTGGCCCACCGAACCATCCCTGGGCCCAAAGGGTTTTCCCCTGCCGAACTTTTGATGGGGCAGAAGTTACGCTCCACTCTTCCAACGGCGCCCCGTACCTCTCTGGCAACACTCCAGGAGGTATCGGCAATGATACAGGAAACGGAAGACAAGATAGGCGTCTAACTATAATAGGCGCCACCGTACAAGAAATGGCAGGGAGCTACACCCACATGCAGCAGTGTGGATTCACGCGGGAGCGGCCGGACCACCTTGGTCTTACCTTGTAGAAACCAACCAAGGAACGATACGACGCACAAGGCACCATCTCCAGCCCGCGATTCCCGACAGCGACAGCCAGCAGGCCGGTTAACGGGAGAACGATCCTCAAGCAACCATAAGACGAAGTGGGAGAATTTCACGACCACCGGAACGCTATGGACAATGAGGCTGAAAGGGGGAGGCGTCGTATAAAGAAGACGAAGTCTGGCGGCATGTGAGACGGTGAGCTGGCTGGGCCATGCGTGAGGGTCTGAGATGCGCGTGACTGGCAGATATGCTTAAGGTTCGGTAAAGGACTCACGGGTGTTGGTTTGCGGCTCCAGGCTTTGACCTTCCTCTCGCCTCGG